TAATTTAGGAATGTTGAATTACTTTTATGTGGCAATAAATACAGGGTGATTCTTAAATATATTTCCATCCGCGTTGAACATTTTCTTCGATTATCTACTCAAAAACTATGCCACGTAGGGCATAAATTCGTACGACGTTATTTATACATATTCTTTTACGTATAAATTTATTAATTAAAAAATGGACACGCATTTAATACTCATCCTGTATATTCACAGTCCGTCACAAAAAATATTTCACACATTATATCGTGTTGCATAAATATATAAGAAATAAAAAGAAAACTACATTATACTATGTTGCTTTACAGGAAAGTACAAAAATTATGTACTTGATATATATATAATTTCATGTTTCAATTTATTCCAATTATTTCATAATTGCATTCATTTCGTAAATTAAATATACGCATGAAGATTTCTTCAAACACGTGTTATTATATTAATTTATAATACATTATATGATTAACATGTTCGTGGAATTTAATTAGGATAATACATGCCACGAATTATTAAATTCTTTGGCCCTTTTTATATTAAAAAGTAATCTTACGTTAATAAGATCGTCTTTCATTTAATAAAGAGCTAAGCAAGCATATCATTGGAATAAAATAAAAAGTAAATCATTTGGTTTTCGAAATTGCCAACTACAAATTTAATTAAAAACGTACTAATATAACGTTGTTATCTGATTAAATTAAATATGATCATTGATTACCGAATTAAAATAAATTGCAATCTACTTCGAAAATCATACAATCAGGTTTATGATTTACGTATGCAAGCTTGTTTGTTATAAATATTAAAAAAATTTCGTAATATTCGTGAAAACTTATCAACCTGTATACAACTACTAATTTATTATTTTACGTGTATTATGTACATATTGAAATATCTATTTCTTCAATATTATAGTATTTCTTCAAGCTATAAACGACAATATTTTAGCGTAGAAATATATGTAGGTAGGTGTTGTAATATCTTAAAAATAAATGAAAAATATCAGATTTATGCATCTTGTTACTTTAAAATAAATTAACAACAATGAATTAGCTAATAAACTTCTCTTTTTCTTCACTTTCTAATATAACGCTTAAACCTTGATCCATATCTTTTCTTATAGTGAGAGACATGAAATGCAAGTGGAACAGAAAGGCTGATTCATTTTCATTAACATTCATAACAATCTCTATTTACCGCAAGAAGCACAAAACTTGTACAATTAAAATTGAACGAACATTTTTATACCTTTCAAACGTATTATTATTATTATTTTTTTTTTACCATTATTATTAAAATACTTAATAACCATCAAGTAATTTATCAAAGAAATATTCAATGAAAGCAAATTAGAACCAACGAAGATTGAACACGTGTAAAAAACAAATTTCAATCTCATTTCTTTTTTTTTTTTTTTTTCTCTCTTTTCATTTTCAAGATCTTCGTTCATCTTCATTTGAATAACTTCCCTGCTACAACATTACAAACACGACAGGCTAATCCCAATACTCCAAGGTTGTCTTATCTCCTCTCCACATTTAGAAAGTGTCATCTTCTAAACGTAATATCGGCTGTCAGGATATGAATTAATGCTCGACATCGTACGGGACAACAAGGCAATTGCGTTTGAAATATCCACTCGTTTACCGCTTGCATGATGCTTATGTTTTTTTTTTTTTTTTTTTTTTTTTTTCAGAACTTTTATTGTATACGCCAAGGAAGGAAATGTAATCTCCCGAATGTCGTGATTATACAGCAACCTCGCTGTAATTTATTGTGCTGATTATCAGAGGAGGGGGGGGGG